ATAATTAAACTGAAAAAAATATAACTGAATATTACAAATACAAATGCATTTAACTTCAAAATTGCTTGACGCCCCCTTGAAACCTCCTCGCCCCCTCCCTTTTGTTTCAGGTGGCGCCCCTACTCCTACCCACACCCTCTAGATAGGAGACTACTTTAATAAACAGTCTCGTGTAGGTGAGATACCCTTAGACATGTCCAGACTGGACCAAATGTTAATTCCTAACTTTTTTTGTTTTGCCATAATATAACTGTGCAACATGGCTGTTATAGACATATTTCCATGGCGTGTATGCGTGGCATCCTGATTGCTGTGGTGCGCCTCTTGGCTGGTTGCCTCCGACTTCAGCACCTTGTTTTACTAGGGTAGACTGTGATCAAACTCGAGGAGAGAAGGCTCATCCATTCGTCTTTCGCCTTTACCTCGTTTGTTGTCCCATCCAGTTTCCCGCTGGGGGTTGAGACCCCAACCTTCAACTGGATTGCTGGGAAGAACAGGGTCCACCACGTGAAGGTGAGGTAGGCTTGAGCAAGAGAGGCTAATAGACATTAAGAGTCTTGTATTGCGCATCATTGCTCCATTAGGACCCCCAACACGGCTGTACGGTTGGAGGAAATTTCCCGGATTGGTACTTGTCTGATTCTCATCCTTGAGATGTTAATCCTGCATACTTCAAAACTAGAAAAGGGGTCCGGGAGGGGTGCGCTTGAATAAACAAACTAAAAAACGAGGGCGCTTCAAATAAAGAACTCAAAAGTGTGATAGAAGTTACAGTGGTCAAGCCATTGTCTTGTAACTTGTTAGCATTGTTGTTACGGGTGTTAAAGAGTGTTGAGCATGTGAAATCACTGTGCAGACTAACCCGGTAACATCATAATGACCGTTTAAAGCTGGCTGCCACACTTTTGACATGCACCAAAGAGGAGCAGCGTCCCGTTGTCCGTCTCTTGATCATGGAAAGGGGCGGAGCCTAGAGAAGTTTACCAACCAATGAGGGTCCAATATAGTGATGCATGCCTGTCGGTCCAGCAAGTTTATGAGTGGATTAGGGAGTTCAATGGATTCAGTTCGACGTTAGTCTCCCCCAAATAAAGTAAGACATGTTCCATTGATAACTTTGTTGGATTGGTCTACTTTCTGGGGGGGGGGGGGGGGGGGTTACGGGTGTGCCGCTCTGTTTTTTGCTTTATGGCTTGTCTTGCATTTACGTTTTTCTTCCGAGAAAGAGAATGCATGTGACATATGATGCTGCACTCTCTATGGGAGTTGTGTGTTAGACCCAGTTTGTCCATGTTTTTGTAGTGTTAAAAGCGCTAGCGTGCTGAAATATGCAACATGCGATATCAACGGCATTGCAGAACACCCCTGTTGCAGTGTGCGAAGGTCGCACGGCTCAAGAACTACCAATCAAAAGTGAGCTAGTGTGTATATGGGCGGGCTCTGTGGGGACTAACGCGAATCTAACCGTCTCACGGTTATTGTAATTACCATCATACTTTTAATGTTTGGATTTGAAGACCCTCGTACTTCAGTTTCCGTGTTTCCTATTTTTAGTATGACCTGTGTAGCTACTTCTCCTGTCTGAATTCAATATCGGTAGCTACTTCCCCCGTCTGAATTCGGCATTTATCTTCTTATATTATGTTTATTGTATACACTGCGCAGTTTTATGTAGATCCTGCACGGTTCGGTGAAGGGTCACAAACAGGAGTGTTTCATTGTCAGAATAGAAAATAATCGTATTATTTCTTGTAGTACTTCCGCGATCAACGTTTGCTATGTCTGTTGCGGCTTGAGTCACAAACAGGACGTTGCGTTGGAGGTATTTCGCTGTGCGTTATAGTTTTGCCTTCTACGGCTTTCTTGTGTGCCATGTTTACTGTCAGTCTTTCTCTCTCTCTCTCTCTCTCTCTCTCTCTCTCTCTCTCTCTCTCTCTCTCTCTCTCTCTCTCTCTCTCTCTCTCTCTCTCTCGTTTATTTAGTAAAGCGTCGCAGAGAAGATTTAGATGTAGTTTCCTGTCTCTTGCTAGTTGCGTAGCCTGTATTATTGTCATAATGCTTTTTTGTAGTGTCACTCCTTCCATCCATGCCTTTCTTGGTCGGCCTCTTGCCTTGTAGTCTGCTATTCTCATGACGTACGCTCTAGCTACTGGCTGATTTTGCTCTATTCTAACCAGCTGACCAAATACTTAATTCAGTGATGTTCTATACAATCATTTTTTTCAATGGTACATTGTTCTTCGCTTGTGACTGTGTCTCTTCTTGTTTGTATCGCTGCATTTTTTATTCATCTCACCTCACAGGCTATAATTACCGAGATTATATTCTCACTAAACACTTATCCAATCTAAAACCTTCGGGCCAAAAGGCAAACCTCTGACAACTGCGCCACTGCGGCTCCTACTGATTCAGGTAGTGTGTGTAGGAGGTATTCTACATGCAGTTAATGTAGATTAAAAGTCGGCAGTTTCCAAATAACGGCCATAAATTATAAAGGTCAAAAACATAACCTTACAGGACCTCAATGATATGTAAATTTTTTAGTTTTATTGAATGACCTATTGAGGCTCTGTAAGGGTATGTTTTTGGCCTATATAATTTGGGGCCGTTATTCTGGGGAGCGCTCAAGTCTTATGTTATTTTAATTTGTTTCATTTTCTTCCTTTCAGAAACGACAAGACATAAACGAACTACAGTAAAATCTTGTCATTGACATAACCAAAATAGAGAGAATAGCCATTGCGAAGCCTCAATCGTAGTCACGGCTGAAACTAAAACCACATCCAAGCAGCTTCTCCCGTTGCTGTTGGAAACCGAACGGTTCTCAAAATGGCCGAGTTCGAGGAGACTGAGCAGGTTGAACGGGGATATAGACGGCTGTCGATGATCTTTGTGCCTCCCCATGTGAAGTCTGAGAAATGCCAGAGATGTGGTAACGTGGTGTACCAGCAGGAGAGAATTGGCCCAGTCAATGATGTGCTTTTTCATAAACAGTGTTTTAGGTGAGTTCGTTATATTTCTTCTTGTATCTCTTAGTTCTCTAAGACACTTTGGTCTTTAGAAAGCTTACTGAGCCAAGTCCATTTTTTCATTCTTAATTTGATAGTTGATTCGTTGAATTGTGTTGTTGTTGTTGTTGTTGTTGTTGTTGTGTGTGTGTGTGTGTGTGTGTGTGTGTGTATGTGTGTGTGTTTTGGGTTTAAATATCCGATTCAGATAATCATTTAGTCATTTTTACTTTTCGCTTCTTCTTCTTCTTCTTTTTCTTCTTCTTTTGTTCATCAGATGTAAACTCCAGCGCAAAGTTCTGGTTGTTCGTCCACTTCTGGATTCTAGTCCTCTTCCAGAAACTGAGTTTTGCGTGCACATCCGTGTCACGGGTCTGACTCATTTGCATGCAGACTATTGTTTCCTTGCCTCTCCGGCAGATGCAGTCCAACTTTGAAGAAAGCTTCTAATTAGTTGACTCTTACGACATGCTTTTATGCAGGGAGTGGATCTGTTCTTGTTTTCACCACAATCTGGCCCCCGGAACCCACACGGGGAATCAGGCAAATGCGTGAGACCCACATTTTTAAAGACCAACTGGCACTCGATGGTAATTTTTTTTTATCATCACGCCGCCTACCGGTATTTGCCATGATATTTACTGATACCCACTGTAGGCTTATACTGGTACACGTTTGAGAATCACTGACGTCCTATATCTAAAAGTTAAATGCATTCGGAAGCAAATGGCCATGGAACACATTAAAAAAGATAATTCGAGAAAATGTAACCACAAAAATATTCGGACAATCATCGGTATCGACAGTCCTAAGACAAACAAAAGTTAGTTGTGTGCACTTTACAGGATATTGCAGATCCAAACTGAGCATTTGCCGACTGTTTTTGTTTTACTTAGCGATTTAACGTTGTGTAGTTTGGCATTGCTTCCTGAATAGCTCTCTATACAACCGTCGAAATCAACGCAAGGCGGTTTGCTCCCAAATCGTCTCCAGCTGGCATTGACCTGGTACCTCGGAATTACAACACGTGTTCACAACACCTAAGCCATAGACACATAATAGGAAAAGATAGCGCATAACAAGGACATCCTGTGGAAGAGCGAATAGGGAATCACTAAAAAGGCACTTAAATGGGAAACAGATGGACTAAAAAAGTGATAAATTTTGACAGAATAGAACGGAATCAAATGGTTTGGCCATGTAACAAGAGTGGCAGGAGACAGGGCACCACAGAGAGCAATGTTATATAGATACAGCGGTAACAGAGCCAGAGGTCGACCACGCAGAATATGGACTACAGAAATATCAGAAACACTTAAAAAGAACTTTATACGAAGCGAACAGAACGGTCCGTTCCAGAGATCTCTTTCTGCCCGGATACCGCGAGGCATTCCAGGAGAAGAGAAAGGAAGAAAAAAAAAGAAGAAGAAGAAAAAAAAGAAGAAGAAACAAGAAGAAGAAGAAGAAGAACGGAATGGAGATATCTTCTTCTTCTTCTTCTTAGCGTTCACCAGCTGTAAACTCCAGCGGAATGTTCTTGTTGTTCGTCCACTTCTGGACCTTGGTCTTGATCCGGTACGCGAGTTTTGCGTGTAAATACGTTTAATAGATATGGCTAATTTTTGTCTATTGACTATTGGTTCCTTGCCTCTCATGCAAATGCACTCCGACTTCGAAGAAAGCACCACTGTATTGTTGCCTCCTTCGCCATGCTTCTTGGAGGCCAGTGGGTCTATTCTTTATTCTCCAGAATGGATCCCATAGCCCACATTTGGAGAAAAAAAAAGGGGGGGGGGGGGGATAAACTGCTAAATTTGTTTTACTTATAGCGGCACAACAGGATGATAATTATTGTGATGATGATGATGGCGAGGAATTAAATATGTAGCGATATTTCTAGCCTACTTTGTACCTTCGACGTTTGATCTGCAGATGCTGTGTCTGTGGTGGCTATGTGACATTAAAAAACTACTGGACCAACCAGACGTCAAGCGAAGACAGAGAGGTCTACTGCCAGAGACACGCTCCCAGGGTCGGGGGGTCAAGGCTGGACAAGGACGCTATTGGAATTCAGAGAGCGTTGGCCGCCCAGGATAATTTCAGGTACAGTCTTGGAAGTCTTATCATTATTCTAGTACACGGTGGGAACTGTGTGTTTGTTTCTATATGTTGTGTAAGTGATCATGAGAATGGAGGTGGTGGCGGTCATATTTCTTCTCGTTGTGATCAGAGACAACTAGTGTCTTCTTCTTCTTCCCTCCTCCACCTCCTCCTTCTGCTTCTCCTCCTCCTGCTGTATCTTCTTCTTCTTCTTCTTCTTCTTCTTCTTCTTCTTCTTCTTCTTCTTCTTCTTCTTCTTCTTCTTCTTCTGCCTCTTCTCCTTCTTCGTTTCTTCTTTTTAAAAGGGCGGCTGGAACGCTGTTTTTTTAGTTTACAGCTAGCCTATTCTATGCTTTTGAAAACAAATTTCTGAGAAAAACGATGAACATAAAATGGTATTGATTTAACAAGAGCGCTTTGGTATCCATTCCTTATCAGGATGGATGTCTGTTAGACTACCAACTACAGGCTTCTTTTCTTTTAGTTGTTTGTGCTCAAGGTTTCAAAGCCATATAAGACAACTGCAAACTCTAATTCCAATTGTTCGAAAGGAAACAAATTTAAAATGTTAATCACTCTCCTTCTGCAAAAAAACAGCTTTGACAGTGTATAGCGTTCCATCATATAGCAGTGTTTTTTTACTTGTGGGTGTTACGAGGCACAGCTTCTGATTTTAGCAGATGGTATAGGGTAGAATACACCTTGTTTACAGAATGTATTATCCCATACTAATATCGGTAGAAACACTATAGCATGAAATAACATCTACATTCATTCATTATCCTGCTGTGTTGCAAGCTTCACTGGAAATGTCACGGGTAGTCAGCATACTTTGGATCTTTTCTCCAGGCTGTGCCGGCGTAGTGGGTAATGAACAGGCAGATAAATTGGCTGGATCTGCACCACTCGGTGGTGAATTGATACACTGACAAGACGGATATATAACTAGATTGTGACCAGTATCATCAGTATTGGAACTCTCCGCTGGCTGCTGAAGGTGAGGACGGAGCACGCATGGGAATGCCCCGAGTGCTGTGATGTCAGTTGTTGACTTAACTCAACCCTGCTGTACCATTATGTGCCCCCAGTGTATTCCTCTATTCCGTTCTATCTTGTGCAGTCAGTTAAAGGTTCATAGATGGAATCCATCCCAGCAGCTTTAGCCTCTCTCATCAACATTCGTCTTAGGGTTTCTTTTGGGAATCCTCGCCTTCTTAGTCTCTTTATTTCCCATTTTAATTCCAGTTTTAGTGATTCTCTGCTGGTTTCTTCTCAGGATGTGCCAAATCAAGCGCCATCTCCTCTCTCTCTCTCTCTCTCTCTCTCTCTCTCTCTCTCTCTCTCTCTCTCTCTCTCTCTCTCTCTCTCTCTCTCTCTCTTAAAATTGTTGACACAAGTGGTTGCCCAGACATTTCTCTGATTTCTTCACTCCTTTTGAATTCGTCTTCTTCTCAAAGTCCATGCCGTGTGGCGTTGGTAGTCATATCTATCTACAACCTTATGTCTCATGTACTTTCAATCAACTTTCATTCATATGATTCTCGGATAAATGGGAAGGATAGAGGACTGGGGAGGGGGAGGGGGGCAGTGAATCTACATCACTCGCCAGAATGGCAGACTTGGGAATTAAGATTGGCACAGCAAAAAAACGAGACGCACACCAGACACGCCAGAAGACTTGTTAATCAACATAGAACTGTTACTACTAGCCATCGGACGTTGGGGTTCATACTGAGGGGAGGATCTGAGCAACAATGGACATGTCCGGGGTACAATAATGATAACCCAACTAACTAACTAACTAACTAACTAACTAACTAACTAACTAACTAACTAACTAACTAACTAACTAACTAACTAACTAACTAACTAACTAACTAACTAACTAACTAACTACTTACTAACTAACAGATGATTCTCAATGCAATGATGTCAGACTGCCCAGCATCTTTTCTCGCAGTCTCCCACTGCCTCTCCTCCCCTCCAGCTTTCCTACAGTCACGATGTACTCCAGTTTTCTCCTTTTGAATTCACCATATTTTGTTTTCATCATTGTTATCGACAGGAAAGCCAATATTAAGATGACAGAACTCCGTTTTCTAGGCGAACAGCCTGGCTCCGCGATGGACCAGGAGGCACTGGGCATCAAAGCCGCCATGTTCCAGAGTCGGCAGAATTCCGGACTGCTAGTGGACCAGCAGGGTGGACACAAGATTAACGTAGATGAGAATGCGGTACATATACGAGGTGCTATGAACGCTCAACTGCTGCAACGCCGCTACCAGAAAAAGTTGGACAAGCACCACTTCCCGCCATATTTTGTGAGTATTCATCTCTTTCTTACCTTTTTATGTGGAGACGGTAAATCTGCTATCGTGTGACTTGTTCAACAGTTGTTGTTGCTGTTGTTCCTGCTGCGTTTACTATCGCTATGACTACTAAAGCTGCTACAACATATCAGCTAGCTAAACTATTACTACTACCACAACAATTTTTTGTATAACCGTTACAGAAACAGCTTTTACTACAACTACTATAACCACTACTTATTAACAACCACTACTGATGCTGCTGTTGCTGTTACTACTACTACTACTACTACTACTACTACTACTACTACTACTACTACTACTACTACTACTACTACTACTACTACTACTACTACTACTACTACTACTACTACTACTACTACTACTACTTTTTAACTATGTGATTACAACACCCTCTTCTATTGTAATATGTGCTGCTACTGCTAATACTGCTGCAACTATTACTACTCTATTTTAGTAGTGTGGTTACTACAATCTCTACAACTGCTACATCTACTGCTGCTGCTGCTGTTGCGGCTACGACTTACTGTTACTTACTTTTGTTACCATGATTACTACAACCTCTACCAGTGTAAAATACCCCCTGCTGCTTCTACTTCTGCTGCAACTACCACCACTATTCTGTTTTACCTCTGTGATTATTGCAACCTCTACTTGTGCTATGCCTGCTACAGCTGCTGTTTCTGTTTCTGTAGAAGTGTGTGTGTGTGTGTGGTTTGTGTGATACTTGACACACATGGAGACATTTTACCGTCAGATTCCTATATTCATCATCATCATCATCACGTGCCCTGCCAACTGGCGTAGGCGCTCATGCGTCTCCACAGATCACGACATCGTCTTGGATCACGATCCTTGGTTGCCTGGAACATCTCTCTTATTGATGATATCCCTCCATGCCATCGTTTCAGCCCATCCAGCATCATCTCTCTCTTGATCTGCCTCTACCCCTTTTTCCACTGATCTTTCCAGTTGTCACAATGTTCTCGAGTGTCTCTCTTCTCATATTCCTATAGTAACGTAAGTATAGTCAGTTCCAGAAGTTTTGCCCTCAAACTTTAACAGATATCTTTAAAACGCATGTAGGGATCAACATGTATCTTTGCATGCGGTCTTATTATGATTTTATCATATATAGTTGCACAGGTGCTGTTGTTTTCTTCAAGCCGCGAATTTCTTTGATCTTTGTGGGACTAATATGTGTACCCCTAAAAATAGAAAATACGGTAATTGACCCAAATTGTTTACTTTCAAATGAGTCATAGGTGTACACACAAATAATATTTAAAGAAAACATTTAATGAATTATAGACTTTTAAAGTTAGGCACGATTTTTGCAACGGATTATTTGTGTGTGCATAATTTGAGAAAAGAAGGATAACAAGGGAAAGCAGGAGTGTATGCGTGTGTGAGTGTGTGTGTGAGAGAGAGAGCGTGTGTGTGTGAGAGTGTGTGAGTGTGAGTGCGTTTGTGTGTGTGTGTGTGTGTGTGCGCGCGCGCGCGCGCGGACGTGTGTGCCCCGTCCATCCTGACAGATTAGTGAATACATGCGCACCATGCTTCGGCCTAAGATAAGTCGAAGGTCGGGGCTAAAGGTACCAATTCGAGTTAAATACATAATTCGAGTTGAGTTTAGTCAAGAACCGACATTGTGTCGCTGGAGACATTCCCACAAACGCTGGGTACTTAGCTTCGGCAGCCAGGGAAGAATTTCATATCCACATGGTACCAATAGCAGTTTAATTAACTCTTTGAGTCCCAGGGGGTAGTAAAGAGAGTCATAAAATCGGCGCATCATGCGCTCATTGGGCTTTTAGGTAGGAACCTATAAACGTATGATGCGTTCCTTGGGACACAGAGTTAAATGTCAATGTTGTCTTTCATCTGATCGTAGAGTGGTACACTATTTAAAATATAGTATACGTGACAGAGCCACAGAAGTTTATATTAATGTGTATAAGCCCGGCTCGCTAGCATTGTTGGTTAAACCTGACTTCGCCGCGACCGGGTGACGAACTCCTTGTGGTCCGGGTTCACGCCTGGGGGTAGGCAGAAAAGCCACATTTCTCCCAGATTTACAGGTTGCGAAATCCATAGTACCGAGCCAAAGGGTTAACACCTTATGGTTTATGGATATTTAAAAAAAACAATGTTAGTGTGTGTAACTGGTGTGTGTGCATGTGTGTTTGTAAAGTCGTCTGTGCAGTTTCACAATAAAACCGCAAGTCCATAAGCTTTAAACTCCAAAATAGAAGAAGAGTTTACGACACGCATAAAAGAAAAGGTAGCTTCATGCATAAAAATGCATAGACCTGTAGGTATGTGCACAGACAGGAAAGACTGCTACAGTACGTTTCAAACGTCGTGCAATCACACAATTTTAACAAATGTCTCAAAACTCCTAACGGATTAACGTTATTTTTTATTGTTATATATGACCTTAGATTTACCATGTCGTTGTAATTTTATAATTTACAGTTGCACATGTGCTGCTGTTTTCTCAAAGCGGCGAAATTCTGTATCTTTGATTAATAATTTGTGTACCCCTAAAAAGAGAATAAAATGTAGTTGACACACGTGAGAAGATTCTTTTGAAATCAGTTCACATGTGGTGAGGGGCAGAAGAAGTGCATGGGCGTTCATAGCGAAGGCGAATGGACGTGGCTACGTGCAACAAAACCTGGTATATGATATCACAACGTCTAGTTTGAGAATGGAGGTGGAGGCAGTCACTGCTGCCTTCCGTTGGCTTGAGAATCAGCTGTACACACATGTCATCATTGTAACTGACTCACAGAGCATGCTGAGAAAGGTGGAGCATGCTCCGTGCAGAGTGGCAAGCATCACTTCAGAAGTCCCGGGTAGTTAGCATCCTATGGATCTTTTCTCCAGGTCACGCCGGTGCGTTGGGAAATGAGCAAGCGGATAGACTGGCCGGTTCTGCACAACTTGGTGGTGAGCTGATGTATGACAAGCTGGATGTTGTGAGGACCCGTTGGGAGCGAGTGGACAGTGTCGAGTAACAGATAGATCATTACGGTCTGAGGAGAATGGCACTGCGAGGAGTTACAAGGGGATCTGGCTGACGCTCAAAACTCGGGGGAGGGGCGAGACGGATATACAATCAGACTGTTACTGGTACAATCGGAATTTTAACTCTTCGCTTGCTGTTGAAGATGGGGATGGAGCGCTTATGGGAGTTCCCGAGTGCTGTGATGTCGACTCTTAATTCAACATGTGCAACGGGAGTCGCCGTGGCAGAACGGCTAGACGCGCGCCGCGGATCGAAAGGACGTGGGTTCGCTCCCTGGCGGAGCCGGACTTTTCTTCAAAAAATGACCTTGGCTCCCAGGTCCACCCAGCCTTAAGTCGGTACCGTGGGTACCGGGTGCAGTCCCGGGAAATAGAGGCGGCCGGCGTGATGCTGACCACATCACCCATCTTGTGCCGTTGGTCTATAAAAATATAGGTCTAGCCCTATATGCCCTATACTATACGCCTAAAGGCGTGGAAAAGGTCCTTTACTTCTTTACTTTTTACAACATGTGCAACGGTGCGTGTTGATTATTTTGATAGCCTATTCCGGCAATAGTAACGTTGGTCTCCTTACGGACCGACCATATATACACTAGCTCACTTCTGATTGGTCGACCTTCAGCAAAGCTTACTTCTGATTGGACATCCTTGAGCCACGCATCCTTGGCACATGGTCACGGGGGTGTTCCGCAATGCCTTTATATCACGTGTTGTATATTTCACTATGCCAGCGCTTTTAACACTCCAAAAACATCTAACACAAAACCCCTTTAACGAGTGATGAAACCTGTGTCACAGGCATTCTCTTTCTCGGAATAAAAACGTAAATGCAAGACAACACAGATAGCAAACAACAGAGCGGCACACCCGTAACCACCAGCGTGGTAGACCAGTCCAACAAAGTTATCAATGGAACGTGACCTACTTTGTGTAGGGAGACTAACGTTTGTTTGACACAACTGGAATTGATGACCCTTTGAGAGTAAAACGCCTATGACAGGCGTGCAGTCTGATGTTTTGAAAAGTTCCCGTTACTCAGTTTGTAAGCCTACTGACTGTTTGCTTTAAATCGGTGTCTGTTTTAATAAAGTTTGAGGTTTGAGGTTTGAACAACAGATCAACATCGTGGCACACGGGTAGTAACCTATAAGTGCTCCCTCCGTTCTACTTCTAACTCAAGTCCTGAGTCGAAAGTAGCTCAGCGCAGTGCACGGGCTCCGTAGCACCGGCGAGGATATTTTGGGGAGATTTTCAACTCCAAATTTTGCCCGTTTTAGTTTTTTTTTCGATTTCCAGCTGCTAAGGAATTGTTTACGTCCGCCACGATACACACGGGCGCATGATCTGACTACACAGAGAGCAGGGAAAATTACTAGAAGTCCACGTGAAAAGAGAAAAATCTCTGCCTTCATCGGGGTCTGAACCTGGGGCTTCTCTTTCAGTATGGCAAAATTACAACTAGACATTTTATATATATATATAATACTTCAAAAGACATTATCATTAACAGGTTGTATGCAAAATTTTAACAACTGATATCAGTCGATTACTGAATTACGTATTTTTAAAGTTAGGAACGACTTTGTGAACCAACTATAGAGTGAATTGTGTGTGTATATGTGTAAAGATGTCTATACAGTTTCATGAAAATACAGCAAGCCCGTAACCTTTAAACTCCAGAACAGAAGAGCAGTTTACGACTCGCGTGAATGAAGAAAAGGCAACTTCAGGTCTAAAATTTACATAAACCTAAAGGTGTACGCAGAGACAGGGAAAACTACGAGACGGACTTGCAAGCACTGATTCCGCACCGGCAGGTTACATGACTGTTGTTGACTCCATTTCAGGCATGGTCGATTTTTACCGGCTCTTCACGCTTGAATACATATGACTGTCGTTAACGAAATATACTTTTTTTGTGACAATGGCCACAGTATAAAGAAACCATTTTTCAC